CCCCTTCTTACTTCTGATGTAATTACAGATCTATTTAGACTTAGCTCTGCCTTTTTATTACTTGTATGTATTTTTCTATACATAAGTGACACTTCCAGAAGAATTATTCTATTAAGTCCCAAGGCTCCTTAGGTTTGATCCCCACCATTGTAAAAAAAAAACAAATCAGGGCTGTGGGACAGTGATGGGACAGACTACTCAAACTCATGTGAGCTTGTAGCCAGAAAAGAAAGCAACAGTAATCCTAGTAAAATACAGGCAGAGCTTATAGATACGTTACATTTTAAGTAAATCAGGAAGTAGTGTGGTAGATGTAAGATTTGCTGTTGGAGTGGTAGAGGGGAAAGGTAAAGAAAGGGCAGGGATGTAAGGAGCGACCTAGCAACTGAGTGCTGGAAACAACGGTAAAATAAGGGTTAGGGAGAACCACATATCAAGCAATTGCAAGAGATTTATGAGGTCAGATGATTGTGTGGACTGTATTTCTCTGGCCTACGTATCTACGTTTTTATTTTTAATTTATCAATTTTTGTGATACAGAGACTGAACTCTAAGTTCTGTATATTTTTATTTGGCTACTTTTCATTCAGCGGTATATAACTTCTGATATTCTGGGGTAAGTTCTGTGTGCACTATGCAACTTCATGTTGTACTAGTCATGCACTCACTTCCTCTTTTTTTTTTTTTTTTTTTTTTTTGTCTTTTTGAGACAGGGTCTGGCTGCACAGTTCAGGCTGGCCTTGAGCTCACTTTGTAGCCCAGGCTGGTCTCAAACTCTCAAGGATCCTCCTGTCTCAGCCTCCTGAGTGCTGGGATTACAGGCGTACACCACCACACCTGCTACCTTTCTGAATTCTTAAGATAATTTGAAAAAATAGGTGGTTGTTGGAAGAGTTTTAAATGTTAGTTGACACACAGTATCTACCATGACCTAAGAGAGAGGCATGTCTTGGTATAAGCTGGTCGTTTCCTCAAATGAAACTGACCAAGATTTTATAAGCCCAAGCAGTTAACTTCATTGTTTCTAAGGCCTAATTCTTTGTTTGTTAGGCCTATTCATTAGCTTTGCCATCGGGTCGTCATATATGGTAATTATTTTTCTCTAGAATGTTGTGACTAAGTTGATACTGTATCATAACCCATGAATTTAAAATGAAGGGAATATTATTTTCTGGTTTTGTCCTGGGCCACTTCTCTCCTGTGAACCACACTGCTCTCACAACAGAATGGCAGGAGGGTATGTTCAGCCTCTCATCTTGATGAGGGACCTCACCTCCTTCAGTTTGCCCTGACCTTGGGTTTTACCTGAAATTTTACTGTTAGAAAGGCTTACTTCCATCGGAGGAGTGAGCAACCCAGATGTGTGTGGGTGGCGGATGGGATAAACAGTATGTGGTCTATACACAATGGGATAGTATTCATTCTTTAAAAAAGGAAGTCCTGTCGCAAGTTATAACATTGATGAGCCTCGAGGACATTATACTCAGTGAAATAAGCCAGTCACCAAAACATAGCTCATAAAAACAAAACGGGATGGTAGTCACTTTTTCCGAGAAAATAATACTGTATATTCCAGTCTGGTTTGTGAGTTGGCTTGCTTACAGTTGTTTTACATGTAGCTTTGTTAACTGTACTGGTTGATTTATCAAGGATAGAAGCAGTCACTCTGGCTGGAAATGCAGGAATGGTAACTGGGTATTGTAACAGATTTAGACATAAGGAAGAACAAAGCACTGAATCCAGAATACCAGTGATCGAGCCCTTGTTTGGAGGCTGGATCCCTCCATGCCTGGCTGTCTCTGTCTCTTAGTCTTTTTGAGACAGGGTCTCGCTGTGCAGTTCAGACTGGCTTTGAGCTCACTTAGTATCCCAGGCTGGCCTCGAACTCACAACGATCCTCCTGCCTCAGCCTCCCAAGTGCTGGGATTACAAACATGAGCCACAACACCCGGCGACTGTCCCTGTCTCTTGCACCTGGGCAGGGAATCGTGGCTGAATGAAAAGAGACTGACTGGCGTCTAAGTGGGAAGATGGAAGCGTTTTATGGAGATGGGGTTTGGGTTACCCAGGTGTATCCATTTAGATTTAGTTAGATTTGTGTGTTAAATTATGTGATTTTTTGTTTTTGAGACAGGGTCTCACTGTGTAGTTCAGGCTGGCCTTGAACTCACTATGTTGCCCAGGCTGGCCTCAAAGTTGCAGTGATCCTCCTGCCTCAGCCTCCCAAAGTGCTGGGATTACAGGTGTGCACCATTATGCCTGGCTCAAATTATGTAAATTTTACTTTAAAGAAAAGAACTGAAAAGAACCGTGGGTTGGTGAATAGGTAGAGGTGGAGATAAAATAAGAAAGGCACACTTACCGAAGCTGGGTGATGAGTACATGGAGGTTTATTACATTGTTCTGTTCCCTTTGTGTATGTGCATTTTAAACTCTGTTAAGGCTTTTGGTGTTACTTTGAAACCTTAACATGTATTCCTTTATCAAAATAATGTGTTTGTTTTGTGGGTTACTGCATGTTTCAAGGAAAATGTCCATGTAGCACAATGTAATTTTGGCAGTATGCCCACTTACTTCCATTGCCAAAGGCAGTGACTTAAATTTGAATTCCTGCTTCAGCGGAGTGAAGCTGAGAAGTGTGTAGTTTCTCCCTGGCTGTGCTCTTGCCCCCTGCCGTCTGGTCTTTACCCCTTCCCTCAGGGGTAGAAGTACACTTACCTGCTGAACGCCACCCGCTGCAGGTAGAGCAGAATGCACATTTCTTCACGGCCCACACTCAGTCCCGAACAGTTTAGACGGGTGCACTGTCTGCTTCTCCTGTCCCACTCGCCTGAGCAGTGCATTGCAGCCTGAGTGGCTTGCTTTTGCACACTCAAGCTCGCTCCTATATCGCAGCCTTTGTGTGTGCTGTCCTCCTGAGACTGGCTTCTCATCATTCCATGAGGGTTGGATTTGAGATAAGGTTTCTGAGTGGGGTCTCTGTGGTCTCTGGCTACACCAGCTTCCTCCCATCTGTCTAGAGCAGCAGGGCTCAGTGTGGCACACAGAGCAGTCACCAGCCTCACCCATGAACATTTTTTTTTTCCATCTTTTTGAGACAGGGTCTCGCTATGCAGTTCAGGCTGGCCTTGAGCTCACTTTGTAGCCCAGGCTGCCCTCGAACTCACAACGATCCTCCTGCCTCAGCCTCTCAAGTGCTGGGATTACACGTGTGCGCCACCACGCCCAGCTCCATTTTCTGTTTAGTATTTTGAAGGGAAGTGCAGTCTTGGGTCTCACCATAGATTCACTGGACTAAGACCTCCCTCGGTGACTACACTTGAAGATGTTCAGAAGTTTGGGTCTAGATTCGTGTCGTCCCCACAGTTTTCCCGTTTAACTGTGTAGGCTTGTCTGTTTCTAAGGTCATTTGGTTGTTTATAACCTGCCTAACTGGAATGTAAGCCCCACAAGGGCAGCGCCTCCTCTGTCTAGCACGTATCAGTCAATACGTATTGATGAGTGAGAAGATAAACGAGCACAATGGAAATTATCTTACGTTCTCTGAACTATATAACTCTATACAATAAAAATCTCTATGGCTCCACTTGGTTGTAAAATTCTGGTTATTCTTGTCTCTCAGCGTCATTATCAAGAGTTTTGAATCTTTTTCTTGGATATAAATACTAATAAACCCATGTCGTTGCCAAGTGTGGTGGCACACTCCTGTAATCCCAGCACTCGGGAGGCTGAGGCAGGAGGATCACTGAGAGTTTAAGGCCGGCCTGGGCTACATAGTGAGCTCAAGGCCAGCCTGAACTACACAGCAAGACCCTGTCTCAAAAAACTAAAAACAAAGACAAAAAAACCAAAAACCCATGTGACTAATATGGGTCCTTTATTTATCCTCTTTTTCAGGCAGCGTCTCTTCAGAACCGCAGTTTAGGTTTCATTAGAGTCATCTCTACTGACTTAACATCAAAACTATTTGTTTCTTTTTTTGTTTAAAAAACACTCCCGCGGCTGGGGATTTAGCTCAGCGGCACAGCGCCTGCCTGGCAAGCGTGAGGTCGTGAATTTGATTCCTGGTACCGGAAAAACAAACAAACAAAAAAATAAAAAAACACCCCCATTCAGAGTTAAAATAATCTTCCAAGGTTTTGGTCCAAAGTAAATGTTACTTTGATATTTATATCAAGTTTCATTGAATCAGAATTTAATAATCCTTGCTTTAAAGCAAGAAAATAGGATTCTGAAAACGTTAAGTCAAATGAAAATTTTCAAGGTAAATGTTAAATGAGAACTAATGTGGCATATGCTGTATTAAGTTTTTACTTTTGAGATACATGTTTTGGAAAGATCTATAGTTTCTGATATTAGCCTACATAGCCTGTTCCCAGGATATGTTTCTTCTTGCATAGACTGGTAAAATTTGCCAGGAAACAACTTCTTAGTCGGCGTACTTAGAAGGAAGTCATTGGAGCGCTCACACCTGTTTCAATTCCCAGGACCATTTTGCCAGGACTGAAGGCATTTTTGGTAGTGACAGCTGCAGCAGAGAGGAGTACTGTTAGCATCTAGTGGGCAGAGGCCAGGAAGCCAGGGATGCTGTTAGCACTGCGGATGTAATGCACTGACACCCCTGCCCCACCCATCCGGCTGAAGGTGCCTGTAAGAGACCTGGGCTTGAGACCCTTCTCCTGCAGGTGCTAATGCCTCAGAACAGGAATACTTTATGCTGCCTCTGGAAAAGAGAATATGTAGAAATGGGCCACGTACGAGATTCCGATGGTATATTAGCACTTTCAGATATGTTTATACTAGATTGTTGTTTTTAATCAGCTACAATATAGAAATCTAATGACTGACCTTCCTCTTTTGTGTTACTCGTAGAACAAAAGATTTTTAAGAAATTTGGCAATTTAGTTGATTTTAGAATTGGATAACATTCTCAAATAATTTTACATTTTTAAAAATAGGGAATCTAAAATATAGGGTTACTGGTTTTCCTTATTTTACAGATGGGGTCGAGGATTTGGTCTTTTGGGTTCCATTTTTGGAAAGGATGGTGTATTAAACCAGCCAAACAGTGTCTTTGGACTTATATTTTATATACTACAATTATTACTTGGTAAGTATTTCTACAGCAGTACAAAAATAAATTTGTTATATTCCATATAGTACTTTGTGCCTTTGCTGTAAAGTGTCTTCATGTTAGATACAAACATGTTAATGATAGAACCATTAGTTTGTAGCATATTTTTGTGTTGTGAAAAAATGGTTCACTAAAATTTTTTTGATGATAACGTTGAACTTGGTATCAGTTGGTGTTGAGTCATAGGTAGCATCACCTCATGATGTGCAGAGAAGCCAGTCCAGTCACGGCAGCTGCTACTCGAAATAGTCTTCTCTGTAAACTTTTTTTCTTACTGTAGACTCTGTAGCTATTTTAAAAATCATGTACTAAGAGAGCATTAATAGTAAATCATATTCATGATTCCATCACCTTTACAAATGCTTTTATGTGATCTCTTGTTTTAAATGTAGTATTGTCTTCTTAAGCATTTTGTTATTGTTGGCGTCTGTAGCTCATATTTTTTCTATTCCAGATTACGCTGCAGTGATTGGCTTTCCTTAAAGCCAGCCCTGTACCTCCTCCTTTCTCTTGGAATTGTTTTCACAAAATAAATTTCCAGACAGGGAGTTAATGAGTCAGAAGTATAGAATTTTTTATGGATGTGTGTGTGTGTGTGTGTGTGTGTGTGTGTGTGTGTGTGTATTCGGTTTTATTTTGCTTTAGTGGTATCAGGGATTGAACCCAGGACCTTGGCACTGAGCTACATCCCTAGCTGTTTCTTTTTTACTTTGAGGCAGTGTCTCACTGAGTTGCCCAGGCTGAGTTCTAACTTGTGATCCTCCTGCCACAGCCTCGCAGAGTGCTGAGATCACAGGGATGCACCTGGTGTTTTTTATGCGTTTTTAATAGATGCTACAAAATTTCTGTCCCCTAGTTGTCCAGTTTCTCTGAAGCTTTATCCAGTCTCCATTTTTAAGATGAATTCTATAAAATTTCTAATAGTCATGTGTCAATAGCCATTATTTTAATGTTACTACATTTTAATTTTCTTTTATTGATGCTTTAATTATTGGGATCCTGGTCCATTCTCATTTGTTGCAAATGTTTTACCCATTCTTTATACTTACATTTTGTGTCAGTTTTTCAGGCTTTTATATTTTTACAGGTAAATCCATCTGTTTTTGCCTTTGCATTTCAACTGTTAATATTTTTATTTCATTGTCTGTCATTCTTGTGAGTTCCTTCATTAAACATATAAGTAATTGTATCTGAAGTTGATTTTTGAGACAAGTTGTCAATGTGAATTTTCCTGAATAGTCCTACCAAGTTTGCCCAGCTCTGTATCTGCATAGTATTTATTCTACAGAAACAGAAAGATGTATACGCAGGTATATTCATAGCAGTGCTGTTTAAAATCACAAAACATTGGAAGTAGCCTAGAAATAGGTAATGATTGAGTAAATTAGGACACATCCATATTAGAAAACACTGTGTAACTGTTAAAGGAAATGTAGGTCTTTATGTATACGCTAGAAAGATAAAGACATTGTTCAGTGAGAAGGGCAAGTTATAGATTAATAGGTACTGGATATATATATATATACACACATATGTATATGCGAAGGATCTAGGGATTGGAATGGAAAAATTTGACTTTTGATTCCCTGTGCTTGTTTTGTTGGGTTTCTAATAAAAACTATAAAGTATAAACCCAAATACAAGGCAATAATTTATTTTCCCTAAACTGGAAAAGAGCCTAAGAAAAGTCTTTGATAATATTAATTTCAGGAGATGGAGATGAAACTGTCAAATTTCTATTTGTGATACTAATTTCATTATTTTAAATGATACGTAGTGTTTCTATTCTCATTTTCTGAAGCTTTTTAGGCTCCTCCTGTGCTTTTGCTGTGTGTCTTTATCACCGGAGCATATTGGAGTGCATCTCATGGTGTTCAGAGTGTGCTGTTGCCCTCCCCCCGCCCAGCAGTGTGAGATTCAGCTGGTGCTGCTTTTTTCCCCCCTGTCTTTAACCTTTAGGCTTTTAAAGGTGTACTCTGTGTTAAGGGTATATTTTCTCATACTTTTTTGGGGGGTGGGGGTTGGTGCTGGGAATTGAACTCAGGACCTTGTGCTTGCAAGGCAAGCGCTGTGCCACTGAACTATATCCCTGGCCCCCTTTCCAATACTTCTTACGTAAACTAAAATATTTGGTTTTTGGACTAAAACAGGTTCTTTATTGTTGACAGGGTTATTCCCAAATCACAGACACTCATGTTTTCCCCATGGAGTTTCATCATTTCATATTTAATTCCTTCATAAATAAAGTCACATGGTTCAAAGGTTAAAAAATAAGATGTTATACGGTGAAAGGTCTGTCCCACTCTGGTTCACTTTGCCTGCATTTCCTCCTCACCCCAGCTGGTAGCTAGCTTCATGTTGTTGTGCTGGAGTGCTCCAGTGCATAATCAGAAAATACAAATACATCATCTTAATCTGCCTTCTTTTCTAAGTTTAAGGCAGGTGGTACTTACACTGTTACATAGTTCGGTCTCTTCCCCCTTGTCTGCCTTGGTGGTCTTTCTATATCAGTAATTAAGTGTCTTCATTCTTATCTTACAGCTGGAAAACATCCCCTCACATGATTGTATCGTCATTTATTTAGACTTATGGCACATTTTAAATCCTATAGGGAATTTTAGCCCAAACCACAAGTACCTAGTTTCATTACAATAATGTTTAGTAACGGTGTTCATAGTGCTTTTCAGTACTTCATTCTAGTTCATTTAATCGTGCATTATCCTAGCTCACTTAAATCTCACAACAGTCTGAGGAGGTAGGCTTGAGTGTATCCCAATTTTAGAGTTGAGGAAAGAGAGAAAGTGAATATTTTTTAAATTTTTCAGTACTGGGGATGGAACCCAGGGCCTTGTGCATGCTAGACACTTGCTCTACCACTGAGGTATACCTCCAGCCCAAAGAATTACATGTGAAAGTCACAGGAGAAGCACCTAACATCGTGTCATTTTTAACTCTTAGATAAATTGAGGTGACAGCATTAATCTTTGGAGTTTTATGTGTTTCACATAGGTGAAGTCAGCAAACAGGGTCAGACAAATAATTTTAGGCTTTGCTGGTCACTACAACCTCTCCATTCTGCCTTTCTGGTGAAAGCAGCAACATACATTATGTAAATGAGTGAGAGTGACTAGGTTCAGGAAAGCTTTATTGATAAAAGCAGGTGACTGGCCAGATTTGCCGCGGCTGGCACAAGTAGTTCAACAGCACCTTAGTCTTCAGCCCTGTTAAAGTGCAGTTATCTAGTGCTCACCAACCCCACGGGCAAGCTGAGTCCCTGTGGCTCTGCTGCATCCCATAGGCATTTACTCTTTCCCTTTCCTTTTGGCCAGCAGGCACCAGGACTTGTGCTGCTTGACTGACATCGCCAAATCTGCATCACTTATTCTTACCTGTTCCTGTCACTGTTAGCTCTTGAATAGCAGAGACGTTTAATATACTTCGCCCTGTCCTCTGTCCTTGAAAATAAATACATACATTCCTTATATTGTTGGCTTTAAGAGATTACAAAACAACACAGTTGAGAAGAGTCAAGAATTGAGTTTGTTTTTGTCTTCAGAGCCCTGGCTTAGCACACATAATTGCCTTTTTTTCCCCCCGCCTGAATCAGGTTTATTTTGACCCTGATACGGATAACTGGCCAAGAGTGGTGTCCCTTATCCACCAGGGCTGGCCCATTCCAAGATGCTTATCGAGACACCTCCCCCCGCCCCCCGTTTTTAGCAGCATGTTGGTACAGTCCTCTTTCCAGGATGGAGTTTTGAGGGATTTGATCAAAGGATGAAAAGCAAGTTTACTTGCTGCTGCTGGGGGGCCTGTGGCAGAAAGGCCAGGGGGAGGTGGCACCCAGCGTGACGGTCTGGCTGTCCTCGTGCTCCTCCAGGTACTAGGAGGCCTGGGGCTGCGTTGCTTCATGTGCTTGTGAGACTGCATGCTTGTGTGCATATTTTAACTAAGAGTCACTTAACGAAGTAAGCAGTATTCCTTGTGAAACACTGATAAAAAGCATTGCAGCAGTAAAACCAGTGTCCAATCTGCAAAGCCAACCTGTATAACCTTAACAACATAGATATGTAGCTTTTATTGTCAAGTTTCTGAGGTTTGCAGGAAGGTCAGTATTCAGACACTACAGCAAACCACAGAAGTTCTCTCCAGTGTCGAGGCCCGATTGAGCCAAGCCTCTCTTTCTCTTGCAGGCATGACAGCAAGTGCAGTTGCAGCGTTGCTCCTCATGACATCCTCCATCGTGTCTGTCGTGGGGTCTTTGTACCTGGCCTACATTCTGTACTTTGTGCTGAAGGAGTTTTGCATCATCTGCGTCGCCACATATGTGCTGAACTTCATTCTTCTTATCATCAACTACAAACGACTAGTTTACTTGAACGAGGCCTGGAAACGACAGCTGCAGCCCAAGCAAGACTGACCACCTGACGGACTCCTCCCGACAGTCTGAACCCCTTTCTCCATTAAGTTTATTTTGCAACAGTTTTGGTTTTAATTTTTCACAACAGACACTTTCCCCAAGAATCTTAAACTGATTTTTTAAAATACTGTAAATTGGAAGGGGCCCTAGCTATTTTCTGTGTCAATCTTCATTTTAAACATGGACACATAAAAGGATATGCCAAGCCAATCAAAGACAAGCTTTAACTTTACTTTGAAGATGTTTCTGATATAATAAAATACAGCCCTAGCCCCCTTTCCTCAGTGAGCAACCATTGCTAGTAATTCTTTAATGTGTATAAATTCAATTTCAGGTATAACAAATGTGATCATGACATGAAAATATTTTAGACTAGATAACTATTAAATATTGCCATGTTTACAATATGTAATATGTTCTTAGCTGATGGATTGAAACATGTAGATTCAACTAGAATCCATTTATGTGATATTTGTACATACAGGTAGAAATACTGGATCCATCTCTGCAGAACTTACTGTACAGTTTAGGTGACGTGTAGCAGTGAGGGTTAGGGTTAGCGCAACGCTGACTGACAAAGTAGTGAAATAGCCTGTACAGAGCATCTTGTGAGAAGTACTGGCAGCCGCGAGTGCAGCATCGACAGCAAAAATAAGAGGGTGAGTTCCCTCCTATCTCCTTGTTCTGAAAGGAGGAAACTATATTTGAATGTCCAAGACAAGTTTGAGTCTAGTCATAAAACTGGATCCATTGCAACCTTACAGAATGAGTCCAAGAACTTCAGGACACTGAAGTTGGGAGAACCAGTATATTCTTTGGGGGGAAGAAAACTGGAAATACCAATATGGCATTTTTAGGTAAAGGCTCTTACAATAGTTGAGTTTTCAATGCAGACATTTTTCCTTGATATTGGTGCCACTCAACCAAACAGTATTACGATAATAACCAGTATAAGCCCAGTTGCCTGAGTAGGTAGGATTGCTCTCTGATACCTCCATAGCGTTTTCCCTAATTGTTTCTTTCTGCACTAAGGATTGTTAGTAATTGTTTCAGAATCAGATATTGCGTCTGTAAACTTCAGGGCTGACTTACTGCTCAGTTTGTTCCATCGGGAGAAGTTCTACCCGTAGAAGTATCTGAAGGTGGAATGCAGACATGGTGTCACTGCTGTTTCCAGCAGTATGAATTTTTCGAGGAGATTTGAATAAACCCAGATGAACTTGTGACAGTATGTTTCTGTGGTTAACATCTTCTATCAGAATGTCAAAAGTGCCTTCTGTCTTAAATCTCAAACCAAATACTTTGTGTGTTGAACTTGGGCAGAAGTGTCCTTCCTTCCCACGAAGCAGGAAACTTGCACTCTCTGGAAAAGCGGTGCGATTGTTTTATTCCTTAGATTGAGAAGTAGTAGCAGTGATTTTGCTTCCAGCTAGTCATTATGTTAAAAATACTCAATGAGATTGGTAATTTTTGAGTGCTTTATTTGCCTTCTTTTTGGAGGGAGGAGACAGGCTCTGCTCTATAAACTAAAACCTGTAGAGCCAGCAGTTGTTCCATAGTTTACAACCCACTGTCATACAATCGACACATTGTAGGTCTTGTGGCCCAAGGCAGGTATCAAATCTGAATTGTCATGAATTTTTAATGGTTTTAACCAGTTTCTAAAAGATAGCTTAGTTCAGATTTCATCGGGGCTTCTGTTTTCCCATGAATGTGAATCCTTCAATGCCTGTCTTACTGTGTATGTACTGCTCCTGTGTTCTTAAGTAGTTAAAGAACCGTAGAAAGCACTGAATGTCCGGTGTTGGTGGAGAGCCAGGTCCCCGCGTTTGAGAACTGTACAGTAAGATCATCTTGTAGCCGAGCACCTTGTTCTACCAAGGCAGTTGACTGGTTCTCCTTTCTAATTAGAGTGGAAATGGCTTAACAATGGAGACGACTGTGATTTTATACACATCAGAGTTGTGCTAAACAAGTTCCCCATGTCCCAATTTCAAATGTTCTTTTGCCGTATTTTGTATTAATCAGCAGAGTATTGTTAAAGCTTGTCTTGATGTTGCATTCTTGCAAATATCTACAACTCTTACATGAGAAAATACATAGAAATGTTCAGCCAGACCCTTCAGATTTTTCCTTTGCTTTCCCAAGCCTTGGGGGAACCACTGTTTCAGTTATATAAGAATTTTTGCCACATTCCTGTGACCCAGTAGAATTCATGCCCTTTTTCTCACTGAGAGATGAACAGGTGCTGCCTGAAATAATAGCACTTCCCGAAATGCCAGTATCTCAGTAAGCGCCAGAAAACCCTGCCGTGTGCTATGTGCTCTTCTGCCCGGAGGAATTTAGGCTCCCCTTGCACCTTCGAAGGGGGGAAACACCTACGCTGTCAAACTTGAAGATCGTTAGGACTCTTTCAGACCAGATGTTTAAACATCGCAGCATTGCTCGTGCCGGTGTTGAAGAACAGCTTGAGGGGAAATTGCTCTTCGCAGTAATTCCACACTTCATGTCTCGGAAGTGGTTCGAAACAAATTAAACTTCTTATTTACCTAAGTCGTAAATATTTGAAGTAAGAGAAGTTACGGTTAGATGTTAAGTTCTAGGGCGTCCAGGTGGTTTGAAGGATTTCATGTGGTTTTTATTGAAGCCAGTTGATATCAGTGAGGATAAATTTCTGAAATAACTCAGGTTTAACTAGCTGTGTGCAAGGAATAACTCTGACTTGATCTATGTAGCCTCCTTAAATTCCTCATTTTTAAAGGATACTAAAAGCATTGACTATTTTCATACAAAGAGACAGATTTTTCATGTGGTACAAAGGATCTTTGGACCTACTAGAACTCTTTGTTGGCTTTTATTTGCTTATTTTTAACTTATATTTATTTTTGAAAGACTATCCTTCAAAAACTGCAGAGACATCTTGAGCAATTGCGTCCTAACTAGATGGGCTGCTCTGCCTGACGCCAGTGAATGCCGACAGGTGAGCTCATCTGAAACATCAGTGTTGGGCAAACGCCGACAAGGAGCCCCCCACTGTCTTTCCCTGTGTCTGTTTGGGGAGCTGGACCCAATATGCAGCCTCTGTCCTATGCTGACCTCCAGCACTTGAGTATTGGTGAAATGTTTCCACTTAGATATTGTGGGCAGCGCTTATGAATCCTAATCTGTGAGAACCAGCCTTCAGTAAAACAAAAGGGCAAGGGTAGGAGTCCCAGCTACTTGGTTAAACTTCCTTTGGACAAATTTGCCCAGAGAAGGTGTAATGTTTTATTATCAAACTGTATTGAGCATGGCCTAAGTATTAGGTGTATGATCTGTATAGTACGTTCCATCAAAAAATATTTATTATTAGTGCTTTAAGCTCCCGAGTAAACGTTCATTTGAAACGGAGTTCACTGGGCAGATTCCCCCTTTAATATAGATAGAACTATTCTTTATCAGAGATTTAGGATACCGTTTTGCTAACCGGTAAACAAAAACAAATGTAAATATGTAAGAATGTTTATTTGTTGCACATAACTTTTTTGGTATAAAATAAATGTAGAAGTTACCTGTGGAAGTTGTGCTGCCATCATTCTTATACTGAGGTATTTAGTTCTTAAAAAGAAACTGAAATGAAGTCCTTTTGGATTCCCTCAGAACCTTTAAAGGATGCTTGAAGTCGGTATCATCTCATCCCTTCTTTCCCTTTTCAACCGTGTGTAATTTACAGAAGACAGATATCTCAGGGACTCTCACAAGTGTGTGCAGGTCAGGGGGGGATGACGGGGGTCGCTGCTTACAGAGAACTCCTATGCAGATGTTTCCCCATGGTTTGCCTTCCTCTTGAGTACTCCTTTCTCACAGGCCTTAAAGATGAATCTCTGGTGGAACAGAACAAATGTACTGTATGCTGGAACCTTGGGGCTTACGATATGGACTTTATTCCTAATTTGTAAAACATTTGTTTGTTACCTTTAATATTTTTAATGTTTGCCAACTAAAGAGCATCATATCTTCAACATCAATTTTTATTTTTTTTTGAAACAGGGTCTCACTATATAGTCCAGGCTTGCTTTGAACTCACTGTCACCCAAGCTGGCCTTGAACTCATAGCAATGTTCCTGCCTCAGCCTCCCAAGTGCTGGAATTACAGGGGTACCCCACCACATCCGGCCTATTCTTTGACATTACACTGAACACGATAGTTGATTACTTTGAAAAACTTGAGTTCAGTGATAACATGACATATGGTGCCCCTAGAATTCCTTTTGAATGGACTGTACTCTTATAAAAAACGGTCTTTAGATTGCCGGTACAATGAGGCAAAATTATCTTTACTTTTTCCTTTCCTGGAGCCTGGAAAGGAAAATCTAAGCCGGGACATCTTGAGGCCTGGCGAGAAACGTAAGGGCAGTGAAGGGCGTTGGCCCAGCGCTGCCCGCCCCGGAGCGGGCACAGAGGCGTCGGGAGGGAGGGCGAGGCCCGGAGAGACTCTGCTGCGCGCAGGGCACGCGAATGCCCCTGCACAGGCGGGGTCGGAAGCGGCCTCCTGCCCACACGCCCGGCCTCCTGGCGCCTGTGGTCCCGAGACCGAGCTCGTCCTAGGAGGAGCCGTGGCTGCTGCCGCCCGTCCGGGGCACACCCGGCCTCACGCTCGCGGGCCGCCCCGCTGCCACCCTGCGGGGGCTCGCCCGGGGCTTCGCGCAGGCAGTCGGGAGCACGGCGGCCCAGGGGTGCGGAGCCGGCCACGTCTACACAGGCGCGGCCAACACAGCCTCACGCACGAAGGTGCACCCGGCTGAAGGGCGGCCACCACCGGCAACGCTGCTCTGGTGACCGAAAAGCTTTATTGTCACGTGTACCGCCCTCTTCCAGCACATGAGCAGAGTCCAAACCGCAGCCGCGCGGAGCGGGGCGGAACCGCGCTCTGGGTGGCCGCAGAGGCGGCCCGCCGCACCGTGAGCGGAGGGTGAGCGGGGCCCGGCCCGGCCCGGCGCTACACCCGGAGCGGGCTGCTCTGCAGACACAGCGACCTCGGCCCCGCGCCGGGCTCCAGGGTCTCGTTGGCCAGCCGCCAGTACCGGTCCCGCAGCAGGAACGCCGCGCTCTTCGGCTGCCTCTGGCGAGTGAAGATGCCCTTCTTGTTCCCTAGGACCCTCTGCGGGGCTGCACAGGAAGGGGAAGGAGGCCGTCAGCCCGTCACGTGACCGTGACGCCACAATCTGGGCCCACACTAAACGCAAGTGTCTGCTCAGGGCTGGGCTGCTGGCTATCTGAAGTAATACCACCCCCGTCCCCGGTACTGGAGATCGAACCCAGGGCTTTCACAGTGAACTACATTCCCCCCTCCCCACACACACCCCACCTTTTTAAATTTTGAGACAAGGTCTTGCTAAATTGCCCAGGTGGAGCTCAAACTTGTGATCTTCCTGCCTCAGCTTCACTGGACTGTGGGCATACACCACTAGACCCGGCTTGAAGTGACCTTACATAGTAAAGTTTTGTTTCGTTTTTATCTTTTTGAGACACAATAGTTGAGGAGGCTGGTCCTGAACTCACCTGATCCTCCTGAGGCAGCCTCCTGAGGACTGAGATTACAGGCCTATGCCACCCCGGGGCCCAGCATGTTCAAATATTTAAATACCACTTCTCTGTATGTTAATTTCCAGTCTGCTAGGGGGTAAAATTTATTTATTTATTTACTTATTTTGGTTTTTTTGAGGCAGGGTCTTGCTATGTGGCCCAGGCTGGCCTCAAACTCAAAGTGACCTTTCTGCCTCAAACTCCCAAGTACTGGGATTATAGCCATGCACCACCACACCTGGCCGGGGTAAAATTTAAAAATTTATCTTTGAGTTGCAAGCAAGGCGTAAGACATGGGTGCTGAGGTCCTGATGACAGGGGTGGGGCAGTTACCCTGGAAGAGGGTGCAGCCCAGTGCGTGCTGTGTCCGTGGGACCCACGGGGCTCCCAAAGGCCCTGGAGCGGCATCCCGCCAGGCTCTCACCTCTAGCCGTTGCTCTGGCAGGGCAGAGCTGGCCAACGCCCCTCAGGGCTGTGTTTGTGGCATAGTCTCCCACCACCCTTTGGAGAAACCACAACTAAACAGAAAGGTTAAAAGGCAAGGAGCATTTTCCTACCAAAAGGTTGAGGACTGCCTTCCGCCAGGCCCAGTGGTGTGTGCCTGTCCCAGCTCCTGCCGGCAGTGAAGTCGAGCTGCCTGAGCTCGGGAGTTTGAAGC